TTGGGGTGGTTTGCTTTGGTTTTAAGTAGGAGGGTTTCTTGGGGGTTTCGGTTGATTTGGGGTTTGGGGGCTTAATTAGAAGGGTTTGGGGGGGTTTAGTAGGTTTCGGTGCTTAGTTAAGTAATTAATTACGAATTTATTAGGGTGTAATTAATCAACTAATTAAGAGGATGTTTAGGAGGGTTCGGTAGGTTCCGGTCCTTAATTAAGCAATTAGTCAATCAATTAGCTAGTTCATTAAGTAATTAACTAATTACAGAGGTTTACGAATACGAAGGTTCTGTACCACCGAGCCTAATTATTTTGTTAGTAAACTTAGAGATAAAAAGCGCCAGAATTAGGTTTATTCAGTAGATAGGCATTAAACGATTAGTAGTAAATAAAGCAATTTCCTGAGTCTTTAGCACAAACTAGCAGCCGAAATCCGAGAATCATAGCCTTAGGGGTCTAACTAAGAGAGTAATTCGAGAGCTTTGGGTTCGTGTCACTCTTGTATGAACTAATTCTTTGTGCTAGATAAGGCATGTCTTGTGCATTTCCTGAGTTTTCGCCGCCTCCAGCAGCATTCGGCCTCAGCATTTGGTGCCCTAAGACTTCTCTAAGCTGAGGGGGTCGAGGGTTTGGGTTTTAGGCTTAAGTATGCCTAGTTTAGGTCTTCAGGGCCAGGGTTTTAGGGTTTTGGTGGGGGCAAGCATGCCTAGTTTAGGTCTTCAGGGCCAGGGTTTTAGGGTTTGGGTGGGGGCTTCAGGTCGTGGCTGCCTAAAGATTGACCATCAGCAGACAGCCAACAAACACCCCCAAAAGCCCCCCCCAGCCAGAAAAACCCGCATTAATTAGTACCCCCAAATTTTTGGTCAGATTCGGAATTAGCCCCGGAGCCGACGCATTAAAGGGGCCTATACTCCAAAACCGACACCCACATTATATGTGTATATGTGTACTTACATGCATGTTTTACATGTAGAAATCGTAGTCGTAGTCGTCGTGTTAGTAGTTAAGGTGGTAGTGGCTGTGACGGTGGTATTGGTTTGGGTCGTTGTAGTGGCGATAGGGGTATCGGTAGTAGTCGTCATGGTAGTAACAGTAGTAGTATAGGGGCTTGAATAATTACCAACGCTATTTTGGGGGTTCCTTATAATACTTATAATGCAATGGGCCCCCAAAGCCTATTCTAATTATTAAGGCCCCTGTATAATCGAGCAGCAACTTTGTCCTGCGGCATCCCTTCTGTAATGGCGGGCTCACAGCAAGACGTTCTGTCACACCATGTGTTGATTAGCTTTAAACTTGCAGCCGTGCCATCATTCTGAGATGCTGAACGTCTGGAAGCTCTCGGGAGAATTGGTGGCGAGTATACCTGGGGAGGAGCTGGAGAAGCTCGGCACTGTGAGAGGCTTGAAGCAGCACTTACGTCAGCTGCACGGTCTGGCCCGGTTTCGGCAGAGGTTGCTCGTCCACGGTCAGTCTTTAGAGGAGACGGCAATGCTGCAGGCACCCATGGACCTGTATTTGGTTGTTTTGCCGTTTGTGGAAGTCTCCGAATGGGAGGCAGGCGCCTTAGTAGCAGCTGCGCGGCGGGGTTCCATGGCCGAAGTTGAGTCCATGCTGCAGCTGCCCCAAGACCCGGATTTGCCTAGCCTTGGTGGCCGCACACCTTTGATGATTGCATCCGACGAAGGTCACACCGAGATCGTCCGCATGCTGCTGGAGGCCGGTGCCAACAAGGATGTGAAGACCTACGGGTACACAGCTTTGATGGTTCCATCTGAAGCAGGCTATCTCGAGATTGTTCGCTTGCTGCTGGAGGCCGGCGTGGACAAGGATGTGGGAGACCCCAACAATTACACGTGCTTGATGCGAGCTTGCGACCAAGGACATGCCGAGATTGTCCACTTGTTGCTGGAAGCTGGCGCCAATATGGACCGGGCAGACGTCTACGGCCGCACGGCTTTGATGGGGGCAGCCAGCGCCGGCCATGTCGAGATCGCCCGCCTGCTGTTGGAGGCCGGTGCCAACAAGGATGCGTCAGATGAATGCGGGTACACTGCTTTGATGTGCGCATCCGGCGCAGGTCACATCGAGATCGTCCGCTTGATGCTGAAGGCAGGCGCCAACAAGGATGTTGCAGACAACTGTGGGTACACGGCTTTGATGGGCCCAGCCGGCGCAGGCCATGTCGAGATCGTCCGCTTGCTGCTGGAGGCCGGCGCAAGCAAGGATTCGGCAGACGACACCGGATGCACATCTTTAATGCGGGCATCTTCCCAGGGTCATGTCAATGTCGTTCGCCTGCTACTTCAGAATGGCGCCAAGCAGGATTTGGCAGACAACTACGGGTACACGGCCGTGACGAGGGCATCCGGAAAAGGTCATGCCGAGATCGTTCGTCTTCTGCTCGCTGAAAGCCGGTCTTGAGGTGTTGCCTTTGTTGCCGGTGATGGTGAGATCGCCCTCTTGATGCTTTCGTTTGGTGTTGTCGTATGCAATGCACAGGTGACATTGTTCAGCATAGCACTGGTGCAGGGGTTTTGGGGGCTCACTACAGGAGCCTCTAGAACCTCCTTTTAGCATGCCGATCACACTGGATGCGAGGATGCAGAAGCAAGATTAAGCACCATGTGGGTAGTTCTCTAAACATAGGGTCCCTTTTTAAGTCCCCAATATAGTACGGCACCCTTATAAAAGAACCCCCAAAGGGACCCTAATTTAGAGAACACTCCCTCCATGTGTTTCCAATATTTCGGGGAGGAGGAGCAGCCGGAGCTAGAGACGACAGAGAAGCTGAAGCCAGAGGAGGAGCTTGCCCCGAAAGGGCGAATAACCTTAAGGACGACATGAACCCTAAAAGGGTTTAATGTTCATATACCATATAGGGGCTCATAGTATATGGGTGTAGGGCCCCTGCTTTTAAGGGTCATTTGGTCCTTCAGGAAAGAAGCTTGGTGACTTAGCGGCTCATCCCATGACGCTCTATATCCGAGAGGCCCCACATCCACGGCCCACTGTTGGCAAACGTTGTTTGAGTATAGCTTCAGCAGGTTTGGCAGGGGGCTGTACAAGTGCAAGTTGGGATCGACAGTCGGAGGCTGAGTTTTCGAAAGACCTATATTTAAAGACCCAAGCTCCGCTGAGAATGGGGTGATTCCATAGAGTCACGGAGTCACGTGGTTAGGGTTTAGGTTTTAGAGCATGCGGGTCGCCTATCGATAAACACCGTCGCTCATGCATATCTGTCCTAAGGGTGGACGCAAACAAGCTCTGTACGCTTCGAAGCATCGCCAGCGTATCCCAACTTACCAAAAAATCTAGAGAGTCTTGCCGCAGGAGACGGGCGTCGTGCGAGGGGCATCGAAGTGGAAGAAAGGGCGGCCCCTCTTTGAGCATGGCAACTACAGCAGCCCCTTTCTCAAAAAGGTATAGGAGTTCAGGGTTCAGGGTTTCATGAAATGAAGGCCGCAGACCATGAACTGGAAACCCTACGTGATCCTGTACATTTTGGAACCGCAACCCCACAAGCCCAAACCCCAAACTAGCCTTGCCTGCGTTGTGCGAGGCTGAGCGTCGAAACCTTATTTCCCGGAGGAGCTATACTTGTATGTAGATGGGCAAGCCAAAAACCCGACTATTTTAACATGGGAGTTTCCGAATATTAGGGGTACCTTGTTTGGGGTCCTTATAATCGGGATCCTACTATTTAGGGTGCTATATTAGGGTCCCTATTTTTGGAAACCTCGACATATTTTTACAGACCCTGTTGGTTTCTAATTAGGCTACTACGGGTACCGCCACGCTCCTGGGCAGCGCGGAGACAGCGATCGGAGACTGGTGGATCTTACGGAGAGGCATTGTGCTTTGCTTACACTTCCCAGAGGCTCCTCATATACTACTGTTATGGTATTAGGTCGCAAAAAGCCACCCTTACTATGGTTTTTCGGACCTAATTCCATAATGGTAGTATATGAGGAGCCTCTAGGCTTCCCATAAAGAAGTAGAATTCATTGCCCTCATATTATATCTTATAAACCTTAGTTGCCTTGCGCAGGTACTTTTTATATAGGCACATTGGGGTCCTTGTTATAGTATGGGCTACATGGACCCGTAAGGATGATTGAAGGGGCATTTTTCTCTTTATCCCTGCCTGAAAAGGGCAAGAAGCGGGCGTGCCTTGTATTTAGCATTTCCAGGGAGTCGGGCGAGGGGGGACGTTGAGCTTCAGGGATACTAGGGTTATGGATTTGGGCTTCAAGGTTTAAGGTGCTGCTGGGCAGCACAAACTCGGGTGTCCATGGAATCTTCATTACGAGAAATGGGTCCTGTGATGTTTGAGCGGATATCTGATATCTGGTTTAGTGATCTTGATTCAGCTGTACGGTGGAAGGAGACCAGCCTGCATCGGGAGGTACAGCACATATATGTCATGAGCAGCAAACCTCGTACTGCCAGTTATTATTGACTGACACAAGGATGGTGTAGCAGGGGCAAAATGTTTAGCGGTTGGTTTAAGAGCATGCCGGAATGAGGAGTCATAAACTGCGAACACTTGCAAGGACATCAGCAGACCTTCACAAGCTAGTATAGGGGCCTGAATAATTAACAATACTATTTTGGTGGTTTCCTTACTAATATCATAGTGTAGTGGGCCCCAAACCTGATTCTAGTTATGAAGGATATTATATTACATGGAGCAGGCAAACCTGAGGCCACAGACCCGAAGAGATGGTATTTGCAGGATGAGCAGCTTTCAACCAGCGCATTTCCACAGGGAGCCTTGTTGAAGGGATTGAGTTTGTGGATGTGGGGGTCGTAGGACTTGGGGTCACTCCGAGGAGGTTCTTGATGTAAGCTCGTTCGTACAGAGGGGCGGTTTAGAGTGGAGGTGGACATAGGCTTCCGACCTCACTGCATACTGCATGTACCTCAACTCTATCAACTCCAACCACATAGACTCTACACTACACCCTAAACCCCAAACCCTAAACCCTACGCTACACCCTGGACAGGTTCGGGAAGAGCTTCTTCAAAAGGAAAGAAGTCCTTGACATCGGCTGAACCTCGGCCTAGAAACCTCAAAAATGGCAGGTCGAGGTCGGTATTGCAGGGTTCTTATTAATTAGAATAGGGTTTCGTGGGTTCCTTATGCAAATTATAGTACAATATTATACCCCAAACCCTATTCTAATTATAAGGCCCCGGTACCCGTATAGATCCCTTATAGTCAATAGTCACCCTTATGGACCCCTTCAAGGGACACCTATTCTACTTATTAAGGGTTCGGGTTCAGACCCTGACACTTCCTGAAGGACCGAATGATCCTTAAAAGTAGTGGCCCTATCGATGGTTGTCAAAATTTGATGGTCCCTTTTTGGGTACCCTAAATATTCGGTGCCTTATTATAATAAGGACCCCAAAAGGGACCATAATTTTGACAACCTTCCATATACTATGAATCCCTATTTGGTGCATGAACCTGAAACCCTTCTGGAGTTCACGTCGTCCTTAAGGTGCAGTATAGAACCCCTTAAAGAAAACCTGAAACCCTAAACCCAAAAAACCCTTTTGGAGTTCACGTCGTCCTTAAGGTTGGGATGGTGCTTAGGGGCCCTAATATAGTAGCCAAAATAGTAGGATCCTTATTATAGGGACCCTGAAATAAGGGAGGCACTTCAGAGAGACCTCGTTCAAAGCGACTGCAGCGTCGAGGTCGCCGGTTTAGGTGCTCCTTTTTAATAAGGGTACTATAGGGTTCTATAATAGGGTTCCTTAAAGGGATCTATAGGGTTCTATAATAGGGTTCCTTAAAGGGATCTGTAGGGGTTCTATAATGGGGATCATGGGACTTAATTTTGGGTTTAGTGTTTACTCAGAGACTCCAATAATCCTTATAAGTAGGGAATATAACCTGAAATTCTAGTAGGATCCTTAATATGATTTAACCAATATTCCTTAAATTAGGAATTATATACCTTAAATCATATTAAGGATGCTGCTATAATTTAAGGGTATATTCCTTAATTAAGGGATATTGGAGTCTCTGGGTACGGTTTAGCGCCGCATCCCCGAGGTCTCCTAAGGTGACTGAGGAAGGCTCCGCACCAGAGCTTCGCTGCCGGCCTACACTGCAAGTCCGTGCTTAAAAATTGAGCCCTGGAACTTTCGGGTATGATTCGTACTAAGCCCCAGCCCAATCCCAAGACATGATTGAACCCCAAGCCCCTATACTCCTACAGTTTTTGTACCAACTTCCCCTGAACCCAACAACCCCTGCATTGTTGTACCCTTAACCCTACCAGAAGCCCCAAACTCTAAGCGCAAAAAGCCCCATTTTTGGAGGGTCGGGGGTCTTAGTAGGGACTTATAAGTACCATAACCCCAATTAGGGTCCCCTTTAGGGTACTTATAAGTCTACTTACTCTGAACCCTGAACGCTGAATCGTAGACCTGAAGGTAATGCTGGCCTGGTATCCTTGGCAGTGGCCCGCGAGTTTCAAGCCCGGCGAGTGGCTGCTTGTCCGCCAACTAGAAGAGTTCGAGGTTCTGGGTTTAGGGTTTAGCCGTAAACCCTGAACCGTTATCAGGGCTTGGGATTAAGGGTTTTGAGTTTAGGGCTTGCAGTGGGGTGTTGCCGGGTTGAGGTACAGTTTGCGTGTTGAGGTTTAGGGCCAGGACTTCGATCAAGACGCCATAAACCATGCATATATGATGTAATCCAGCAGCCCATTATCTTGGTCCTGGAGCCTTTTTTCATAGGATATTTATCAGGAAAGTGGCATCGTCACTATTTAGTTTACATCCTTACTCTGAAAACTTATTTTTCGTGTCTTCCAAGAAACCCAAGAATCGGTCATCCCAGTCGGCAGGTCTTTGAGCTGTGGAGCTGAAAAGCTTCCGAAGCGGCCCCAACTTCTCGGGTAGTTGTCAAAATTAGGGTCCCTTCCTGGGTACCCTAAATAATAGGTGCCTTATTATAATAGGGACCCAAGAAGGGACCCTAATTTTGACAACCCAACCTTTATAAACTTTTTGGGTTCTTCTAGTTTAGTAGCAACCTGAAAGCTTAACCTTTATCTCTGTGGCTTATTGGGGAAGTAAGAATTTGTCAGGGTTTGTAGGGATTCAGGCTTAGGTATTATGTAAGAATTTGGTTTGGGAGCCTTTCGGCCGTCTGCTCGCGTCGCTCCTTAACTACCGGTTTCGGGTTTAGGGTTTAGGGTTTAGGCATAGGCATCAATAAGTCAAAACGAGATCAACAACGTATCAAACTGTGAGAAAAGCTGTGGATGACAGTATTTGCAGTCCGCCGTGAACACACGAAGACGTGTCTTTCGGTCTCAAAGTGAAGAAAGCAGTAAGGAGGGCAGTGAAAAACAGAACACGCATCACACATACATGCATGTATAAAGAGATTAACACGTAAAAATGATCACATTTCATAAAACTAGTGAGTTTTGTCTAGATTGGACCTGTGGCAGATAGACTCTGCGCCCTACCCTAAGGCCCCAAACTAGTTCCTCTTTTGGGGTTCGTATATAGAATCCTATAAGGTAATCCCAAAAAGGAACTACTTTGGGGCCTTAGGGTAGAGGCCTGAACTCGGGATTTTGAAGGTTGGGATGGACCTGGATGCCGATCTGATCGAAGCTGCCGAAGCAAACTATTCTTGCGAGATAGACAGATTGAAAGGCGGGGAGAGTTCCACGGTTGCCGCAGATTCCGGCATTCCTGACTCCGATAGCACCTAAGCCCCATACTCCAGGGGCCATCAACATGTTGCCAAGCTTCCTGAAATAAACTGCAGTTGGCCTTTTCTTACCTTTGGTTAGTATGGAATGGAAGAATGGTAGTAATAGTAGCTATAATTGCACCCAATTCCTCCATTCCCTACTAACCAAAGGTAAGTTTTGGGTGCTTGCGGCCTGTGTTCTTCAAAGTGCCAATGGTGCAGACCGGGGAGGTGTCCCCAGATAAGGGGTCCCTTGAGTTGTTTCCTTAGTGGTACTTAGAAATAGTTTTTAAATTGTGGTTATTATAATCCCTAAGAAACAGCTAAAGTTATATAATTTTTGCTAGGGTTCTAAGTTCAGTATTTCTCCGGCTCCTAGTGCTTGGGGTGTATCTTGCAATTCCTTTGTTGTTAGTGGTAGGGTTTTCCTCCCGTACTGGGAAAACCCACTATATCACAGCGATTTTGACGATGCTACTATATAGTCATCGCGCTTCTTTGAACCCCAAAGGGAAAACCCGTGGTTGCATGTTCATTCACACTTGTGTTTTCCTACCTTTGCAGATGCCCGACATCTAATGCACTCAGCTTTTGCTTTTTGACTACCAGCATCCCCGCAAAATATCCGTTCATAGAGGCCTTTTGGTCCTTAATGGTGAGTCTTTGGGCTCTAAGGGTCCAGTTTTCGGCTCTATACCCTTAGATCGCTTCTATGAACTTAGGGCGTCTGCCTACACCTCGGTCTACCTCCACGGATACCTACTATTAGAGATATGTCTTTTTTCGAAGGCAAAAAGGAGTGTCTTCGTATCTATTTCAGTGCATTTCTGTTTCTGGGAAGCTGAACGTCCTTGTCTTCCGTCTGCGGCTCCGTGAAGGGCACGCCCACAGCCTTGATGAACAAACCTCTGCAACCAGGAGTTGCCATTTTCTCCCGCCGTCATGCGAACTTTGGCTTTTTGGTAGTGTTCGATTCTGCCTGGGGTTCAGGGCTTCGTGTTCAGCTCTTCACCCTGAACCCCATAAACCCAAAGCCCTGAAGCCCATAAACCCTAAACCCTAAAGGAACCCTGAAAGGAACCATAGAGATCCCGAAAAGAGACTCTTAATCCCTAAAGTAGAAGCCAGAAAGTTGGAACATCAGAACCCCCTGCCCTCAAAGTAAAGTAGGTGGCATCCCAGCATAAATCATCCCCAAACCCTGTCATAACTTTCTAGGGTTCACTTGAACTAGGATGCCCAGTAGTACCCTTATTCCCTTTTTCTAGTCCTAGGTTCCTTATAAAGTTACCCAATACCAAAAAGAGAGGCCTTTTTATTCTTAGGTTACTGGGTATCCTAGCTAGGGTTCACTGAAACCTAAAGGCGAAGTGGAGTTCCGTCGCGAAGATATCCTTAGCTGCCCCCTGCGTCGGGGCGACGAGGCCGGGGTTCGAGTCTGTTGCGCGAGGAACTGTGGGGTATTCGGGGTTTAGGGTTTCGGGTGGAGGGTTTAGGGTATACCTGAAGCCGAAAAGACCTACCTTTGTAGGGTTCCTGATTATAATTTCTGTATATAGTTCCTTGAAAATGTAGTTCTTGTCGGCTACAGGTAGGGTATCGATTTAGGTTTTAGGGTCAGGGTTTGAGGCTTTGAGCTCTCCGGCTAAGCATAGGGGTACCGCGTGGGGTTCAGGTTTACACCTATAGTAGATGAGTAGGTAGCCTTGAACCTTTTGAGGCATGTATAACCCTACCATAAATTGAAAGATTAACATGTCTTGTTTAATGCTTGATAGTGATGTATGGTTTATGCTTTATGCCAATGCTGGATGCTTTGGAATGCCACGCTAGCTTGGCTGTGCTATGCCTTTTTCTCCGACATTTTGTGGACTGTGCTATAACATGTTATGGTATGACGTGATGTTCTGTGCCATGTGTGTTCCGGTTTGGAATGCTAACGTTATGCTTTGCTATACCGTACAATACCTTTACATGCCATGCGATGCTTTTCTGCGATACGGCAGTTTCCGAGAATAGGGACCCCAACATAGCACCCGAAATAGTAGGATCGTTATTACAAGGACTCCAAAATAAGGTACCCCTAATTTGCTAATTCTCGGAAACTCCCAAAAAACGCAAGCAGATGTTGTTGTGTCGCCTCGCCTCAACCTGTGCAAGTTCACGTTATTATGTTGTCGTGTTTTAGTTTGCTGGTTTGCTTTGCCTTGCTCTGCTCTCGTATGCCATGCTATGTTCGGCTCTCTCATGATATGTAAGGTTCCGTCATGCCATGTCATTCTGTTGTTTTTGGATAACAGAGATCAAACTGAATCTAACCGCTACCCGTTCTACGAAGGCCATGGCCTAGAGCGGAACGAAGCCTTGAGCCAGAAGCTTTTGAGGTATGATCCTCAGCCTCAAAACCCAACCCTATAAGCCCTAAGCGCTCCGTCCAAAACCCGGGAAATGTCCTAGCCTAAGTCTCCCTAAACCCTCAACCTCAGGACCTTGAACCCAAGCCTCCCTAAGCCCTAAACACTGGACAAAAGGAACTCAAGAAAAAAACGAAAACTTAGGCCCTGCCTATAGTCTCCATTGTAGTTCCTTTTTGGGGTTACCTTTTGGGACCCTAATTATATATTTGGTTACACCAAAAAAGGAGCTACAATGGAGACTATAGGTGGTCTCCAAGCTGCATGTTTTGCTTGGGAGGCGAAGCCTGAACGATTCGATGCGACCTCCTCAGGTTCAGGAGTGTCTTACTTGGAGGGGCAGGGGACTAAGTAAGTAGGTTGTAAGTAGAGTTATAAGTACGCTAAATGGAGTTACCCCAATTATAGCCCTACTTGTAAAGCGACTTACTAAGTCCCCTGCCCTTTCAAGTAGGATCACAGGATCCGCTTTGTTGGGCCTTCTGTTCTGACCTGACCCGAATTAGCACCCCGGTGTTTTTCCGTATTGTTCCTGTGTCGGGTTTCGGCTCCTGGAGTTAGGCGGAGGGTTGTCATCTAGGTCAGTTTCAGGGGATTTCCGATTCGCTTCGACTTCGGTTTTATTCATACAGATCCCCCAAGATGGACAAGGACTTTCAACCGACCCCGTCACCGAACTCATTCAAGATCTGAAACCTCTTGAACTCTTGGAAACCCCCGCTTAAGCCCCAACCAAGTCATGAGACCCTGAGCCCTGAGGTTGTTCTGTGCTTGTCTGTGACGAAGTGGGTGCACTTTGCTCACGGCGACACTGGGCTCCCCGGTCGCCGGCGAAGATTTCAGTGTTGAGCGTCGTAGGATTTTCCGGGTTTAGGGTTCGGGCGAGCTCCACTGAAACCTGTGTATGAGCTGAGGGCTTATTACGATTATGCTTCAAACGCTACTTAATACCAGCTGGTGTGTTAACACGATCATTGAACATACTGTTGCTGCTGTTGTGGCGCGTCCTATTACAAGTCTATACCTGGACCCCAAAAGTATGTAGAATAATAGCCCTTTATCAGGTGTGGGCCATTATTTTGCCTACTTTTGGGGGTTCAGGTAGCCGTGCTTGGGGGAGGGGCAGTTATAAACCAATCGAGATCGCACAGGCTCTTCGGGTTCAAGGTTTGGTTTTCAGATTTCAGTGTTGCGAGTTTAGGAACCCTGAAGCCCTAAACCCCTAAACCCTAAATCCCTGAACCCCTAAACCCTAAACCCCTAAACCCTAAACCACTAACCGGTCACTAACCCCTAAACCCTTTAGGCTATGGTTTGGGCTCAGGCTGGCGTCTCAGCGGGTTTAGGGCGTTTGAGGGCTTCAGGCTTTCGGCCTGGGTAAGACTTCAGATTTGCTGCAGGGCTTTCCGAGGGACTCCAGTACCCCTTAATTAAGGAATATACTATTCCTTAAATTATGGTAGGATCCCTTATATGTATTATATGATTTAAGGTATATTCCTTAATGAAGGAGTATTGTCTCTGGGTACCCGCCCTGACGGTCCTCGGGACCCAATGACGAGTTTACTTACTCAGGCTTAGCAAAGTAGTAGCTCCGTGGTCCAGGGCGGAATGAACATGAACTCTCTCAATGCAAGAGCCACACCCCGTAACACTATGCAAGCACAAAGCCCCGGTGTTGGGCGTATCGGGAAAATGTGATGAATGGGTACATGGACACTCGGGGTTGCAGCATGCAGCTTCTCTGTCATTAGTTTCCTTGTTTTCTTTGCCCGAGCTCAACTTCCAACATGAACTCAATCAAGAACTTCCTTCAGGAAGAGGTAGCGTCTATCGGTGGCCCGTGGATTCCCTCTAGAGCTTAATTCAAGCTCCGAAGATACAAGGCCACAGTCGCTGGGGACAGGTTTTAGGGGAGCTTCGGTAGTCGGGAAGACGACTGCCTGATATAGGGTTCAGGGCCTTAACAATTATCTATACTCTTAGGGGGTTCTTTATTGTAATTAGAGTATAGTATATTCGCAAACCCTATTCTAATGATCAGGGCCCTTACACTAGGGTTTGCACTTCAGGAAGAGAGACTGGTGGCATAGTTTCCCCAAGGTTTCGTGTGTTTCGCGCCTTCCAAGAATGAGACAAATATGCTTGCCGCACAAACGCAGGGCTTCACTATGCCACACCACTTAAACCCTAAAGCCTACAACCGAAGCCCGTAGCCCTAAACCCAACCTAAGTCGAAGCTCTCAATTCGGAAAGTTGGGATGACTCTTGCGTGAAACTCCGCAGCACAACTTCCAAGCAATCTAGGGTTTGGGGTTTCTGGGGCTTGTAGGGTCTCGGTTTTAGGGCTTAACCTTGAACACTTTAACCCTCAACGGCCCAGGATCCACAACCTGTTCAAGCGATGTTTCAAACGGACGAGGCAGGCTGCAAGAAAGCGTCGGCAGATAGTCGGTGAAGAGTCTGGATGTGTAGAGCGAGAGGTTTAGAATCAACATGGGCTCTACTATTAGGGCATGTCCCAAGGCCCAAGCGCAGTACGCTGTTCTGGTTATCAAGGCTCCTTTATTGAGACGATCGGTCGGCGTTTTGGTCGGATCTAGGGTTGTCTGATGGGCTGAAGGTTCAAGTTGCAAAGCCTTACCCCAAATGGAAGTTTCCGAAAATAGGGGTACCTTATTCTGGGGAGTACCATATTAGGGTCCCCTATTTTCGGAAACTCCGAAATTTTCCCAAGTTCCATTCACACTGAATGCACGAGGCTCAGCCATTGCGTTGCTCAGGCTCACTTTGTGTTTGAGCCGACAATGATCCCACTCCCGCACGCCTCAGCCCTGCCAGAAATTCTTGAGAAACTGCAGGAACTGAGGATACCCCGACTGCGGGTCCAGGGGTTTTGCCATTAACTTGAAGTCCAGACACGAAAGCCCTCAACACCTTGTTTTCAGTACACCCCTCGCTTTATGCAGATTATCGGAAGCCTGGTTAGAGTGCCATTGAATTCCCGAAACTCCCAGATCGGAGCCCAAACAAAGTTCCAACACCGTAAAACCTTAGTCCTAAACCCGTAGGCATTGTTGCAGCAGAGCGTGGTTTGGACGGTTCATGCAATGTCACAATGCCAAGTATGCGCTGCTTGTTGTCCGGAGATGCCACTGCGAAGAGTGTATAGAGTGGGAAGTCGCTTGAGGGGTACCGAATATCGCTGTTCCTACTGCTGATGGACAAAATCCTGCATTACCCAGTATAAGGAATATACCATAATTCCCATAGTTTAGAGTCCTTAGGGCCATGCAGGATTTTGTCCATCAACAGTATTGAGCCGGTCAGTAACCTCGCCAGGCTTGTCCCAGTTGTGAGTGCTGACACCCGGAAGCCCGAACCTTTTCAACCACAAAAACGAGACCCCTATAGCCCAATCTCCTAAACCCCCAAAACCATGACACCCTGAATCCCTAAACTCTAAACACTACAACCCCTTCAGCTGAACCCAAGAACCTCCTTGCCAGGCCAGGTGGGCACTTCGTCCTGGAGCCGCAGGGTTGGGGCAGCTACAAAAAGAGCCCTGCACCAACAAAGGGGGCGTTGAGAATTACTGACCAGGGAATGAATGTGCATATCTGCCTCGAGCTTCGAGCGACATAAGCCCAAGCCTTGGCTCAAAGCAAGGCCTTTTGCCATACCAGGTGTTGCTTGATTCGCCTAAAGTCCGGTAAGATGCTGCAAGTTTGGATGATGCTTACCGGGGGTACTGCTGATGGACAAAATCCTGCATGACCCTAAGGACTCTAAACTAGGGAACTATGGTATATTCCGTATAATTTTGGGTAATGCAGGATTTGTCCATCAACAGTATGGCCCAGCCTGTAATAGTGGTATAGTAGGAATATAGTAGGGCCCTACTATAATCCTTATAGTCACTATTACAGGGTGGGGGCAGTTTCTATGGTGGACGCAATATCTGAAGAGGAGCTGAAGGAGCTCCAGGACATGAGGGGCTTGAACCAATGCTGGACCCAGCAAACCCTACTTTTTTTTGGTAGGTTCTTCTTATAAACCTTAATATGGAATTTATAGGGACCCTACAAAAAAGTAGGTTTTGGTAGGTTAAGGAATGCTGGACCCAACATTCTAAGACCACCATTCTACGTATAGTCTCCATTGCAGTTCCTTCTTTTCGTTAACCAATTTTTTTTTATAGGGTCCTAACCATAAAACTGGTTAACCAGAAAATGGAACTACAATGGAGACTATAGGTAAGACCCCTTTTGCAACCCTGCGGGGTTTCAGGAAGCTCGACTCGAGTAGAGGGAGCAGGGCCTTCAAAACCCCAAACCCGTAACCCCCAAGCCTTAAAGGCTAAACCCCGAAACCTCAAACCCGAAAACCCTAAACATCAAATCCTTAAACCCTAAACGCCTAACCCCTAAACCTAAAATCCTAAACCCCTAACCCCTAAAACTAAATTCCTAAGCCCCTGAACCCTGGATCCTAAACCCTAAACCTCAAGTCCTGTAGGCCCTATAAACCCTGGATCCCGAACCCTAAACCCTAAACATCCCTAAACTGAGGAAGCGCCACATCACACGGGCCATTCGGGACACCGTGGCTTCCATCGAAATCCGCCCAGAGGCCGAGCTCTGGGTTCCTCTTAGGTTTTCAAAATTAGGGTGCCTAATTGGGGGTTTAGGGTTTAGGGTTTAGGGTTTAGGGTTGGGTACCCTAAATAATAGGTGCCGTACTATAATAGGGACCCCAAAAGGGACCATAATTTTGACAACCGCCCATATAGCGGCCTTAATAGTTAGAATAGGGTTGAAGAGTTATCTTAGAACGGACAGGGCTCCTTTTTAAAGGATTCCTAAAGAGGTCTATAAGGGATCTATAGTAGGGTTCTTTTGGGTTTAGGAGTTTCGGTTTAGGGGTTAGGGTTTAGGGTAAAGGGGTCTATAAGGGCTACTTAGAGGGATCTATAAGGGTACTACAATGGAGGGGCCTTAGTAGCTCGAATAGGGTACAAGGGTTACTATCAGGGATACTATCCGGGTACGATAATAAAGTGGGGGCCTTAATACTTAGAATAGGATTTTGGTGGTCAGTATACTACACTTGTAATAAGGAACCTCAGGAAAGTGTTGGTCCCTCCATATTTAGGCCTCTAGATTAAGGGTTCTTTTGGGGTTCAGGTGTTTAGGGCTTATGTGTTGTTCAGGGCTGTAGGTTTGTGGGGTTGGTTGAGGGGTCTTAGGGGTTCAGGGGGAGGTCTAGGCTGTTTAGAGTGAATAGGGTTGAGGAGCGTCAGCTGAGAGCTGGGCTCAACATGACTGGGTTCGGGAGTACCATACGCATATACTTGTCTGGCACTTTTTCCTCAAAGAACCATTCTTAGATAGGGGGGAACTTTCGATATTTTGGCCTCTTATAATAGCTCTATCTTAGAAAGTTTGGACTTTTTGGGGCCCGGTTGTTGAAGAAGAGAGCATTCATGCGGCTTAGTGTTTTTTGTTCCCTGGTTACTTCGACGGTCAGATGACGGGTCAGGGTGCAATCCTCAAACTTGCAGGAGATGCCCTATAAAACTCCGATACTGATGGGCTCTTCAGAAACCGCTCGTTATTCAGAACTATGCACCTCGGACCTCAGGGCAGTTTTTTTGTCGTCAAGCGCCCTGCTAGATCTGCATGTCTCAAAACCAGCGAGAAACCGAACTCCAGACCCTTCCCTCAACCCTAAACCTTGGTGTAGGGTCGTAGCCTTTGAGAGCTGAGGGTTTCAGGACTGCCTGAGAAGGCTCTCCAACCTGCTGGCAGCCAGGGGCTTTGTGTGTATGGATGAATGCCCGATCTCCAAGGAACTCGAGCCCCCGACTTTTTAATAGCATGGAGGCGCCTCTGATACTTAACCTAAACCGCCTAAAGCCTCGGACCCTACACCCTAAAACCCTCAAGCGTCAACATTGAAACCCTAAACCCTGAAAGCCTAAAACCTTCGAGTCCAAAAGTAGTTGCCCAGAATTCCGAAAACCCGAAGCCCAGAGAAGTTCAATACTACCAATGCCCGGAACCAAAGCCCCAAGTAACAATGCCCCAACAAGTGTACAGACCGCGAAAATGTTTGCCATGAAGCCTTCTAAGATCTTAGACAGTCGCCACTAACCCTAAACCCTAAACCCGCCACAGGACTTTGCCGAGTATCTCGTGGGCCTGGGTTTCGAGAAGGTAGATGTGATCGACCCTCCAGGCTTTAGGGTTTAGGGGTTTAGGGTTTAGGGTTTAGCCTTCAGACCCAGCGTCCTGCCGCAGACCAGCGGGTGGGGCGCGCATCGGTTTTTGCGAGGTTTCTTGTTGCAGAAGCACGAATCGATGGGGCCTCCGGTATTTTGGGCTCAGGCCTTCGGCCCATGTGCCAACCATGATGACGTCCAGATCAGACTCCATCCATGGCCGCAAAGCATCCATGTGCCACATGTTAACGTCCAGATCAGACTCCATCCATGCCCGCGGAGCATCCATGTGCCGCCCATGATGACGTCCAGATCAGACTCCATCCATGGCCGCAGAGCATCCATGTGCCAACCATGTTAACGTCCAGATCAGACTCCATCCATGGCCGCAATGCATCCATGTGCCACCCATGTTAACGTCCAGATCAGACTCCACCCTTGCCCGCAGAGCATCCATGTGCCAACCATGATGACGTCCAGATCAGACTCCATCCATGGCCGCAGAGCATCCATGTGAAACCCAGGATAGCGTCCAGATCAGACTCCATCCATGCCCGCAGAGCATCCATGTGCCAACCATGATGACGTCCAGATCAGACTCCATCCATGGCCGCAGAGCATCCATGTGCCACCCATGTTAACCTCCAGATCAGACTCCATCCATGGCCGCAGAGCATCCATGTGCCAACCATGTTGACGTCCAGATCAGACTCCATCCATGCCCGCGGAGAATCCATGTGCCGCCCATGATGACGTCCAGATCAGACTCCATCCATGGCCGCAGAGCATCCATGTGCCAACCATGTTAACGTCCAGATCAGACTCCATCCATGGCCGCAGAGCATCCATGTGCCAACCATGATGACGTCCAGATCAGACTCCATCCATGGCCGCAGAGCATCCATGTGCCACCCATGATAACGTCCAGATCAGACTCCATCCATGCCCGCAGAGCATCCATGTGCCAACCATGATGACGTCCAGATCAGACTCCATCCATGGCCGCAGAGCATCCATGTGCCACCCAGGATAACGTCCAGATCAGACTCCATCCATGCCCGCAGAGCATCCATGTGCCAACCATGATGACGTCCAGATCAGACTCCATCCATGGCCGCAGAGCATCCATGTGCCACCCATGATAACGTCCAGATCAGACTCCATCCATGCCGCAGAGCATCCATGTGCCAACCATGATGACGTCCAGATCAGACTCCATCCATGGCCGCAGAGCATCCATGTGCCAACCATGATGACGTCCAGATCAGACTCCATCCATGGCCGCAGAGCATCCATGTGCCACCCATGTTAACGTCCAGATCAGACTCCATCCATGCCCGCAGAGCATTCATGTGCCAACCATGATGACGTCCAGATCAGACTCCATGCATGGCCGCAGAGCATCCATGTAAATCCTAAACCGTAAATTTCTTGTTTAAGGTTGACATCCATGGCCGCAGAGCATCCATGTAAACCCTAAGCCACTAATTTCTTGGGCAAAAGCTGCTGAGCCTGCTCAGGCTGTAGTGATGATGATGCTCATGAACCTGCTTCTGCCGCTGCCCTGCCTCATTGCTGATCCTGCTCACGATGATGACGATGATGACGAGCATGATGGGGCTCAGTGCACTACTCCTAACCATGTCAGCCTTCAAGCCATATCTCAAGTCCCAAATCATAGATGTCGAAAAGCTTTTCGTACGAGAGGGTCTCAACTTGGTCCGTGTTATTACATAAATTTGGACCTGAGAAATGACTGGTTCTTCTGCTTGCCGAACAATGAATCCACTGTAAATTACGGCGTAATCGTCACTTCCAACATCTAGAAGGACGAGTGGGGCGCGGCATAACGAAGGGACTGAACGTTTAGGGTTTTAGGGTTTTAGGGTTTAGGGTTTAGGGTTTCGGGGTTTAGGGTTATCTAGTAGTAGAGTAGGGAACCTTAGCCCCCATATAATCCTTATATAGCCAAAAAGGTTAACCTTTAGTTCCCCATGTTACCCGACAAGTAGGGGTAATTAACCTTGAGGGTCCATGTACCCAAATAAGTAATTAGTGTAGATTCTTGCCCCAAAGTACCTATATAGGGACTACTTTAAAGCCAAAGTATATACTATTTGGTTACATGGACCCTAAGTTCGTTCATAGCAACTTCAGGGACGCGGCGCGTACTCCGTGTGCACGAGGGCCCTTCGTTCATTTCCACAATCCCCGAAGCAAAGGACCGTGTCATAGCTCCTGAATACGATTTTTTTGATGTTGCAGTAAAGGGAGGGGTCTCGCTTTTCGTCCCTGGGGATCGAACTCTAGACCCTACACCGTTTTTTCGTGGGTCCGATGTTAACTTCCGAATATCTGTGATATGTATATATGTTTTCTATTCTCACTTTATCTGTATATGTATATGTGTATATGTCTACACATGTGAACATGTATACCTTAAAGCGTGAACATACTGACTCTGCGCAAGACTTTCGTGAGCCGTCGGTGCTATCCTTCCTGTTGTCGCAGAATCTCCACTGCTGCAACACTAACACACCAAGTTTGAGTGTGTGCTGTGTGCTCGGCCCTTTTAGTTTCTTATCCCGTCGCAATTATGAAGCTTGAAGCATTGTGAAACCAAGTTTGTAGGCCTGCTTAAGCATGAATTGGGAGTGAAAACAAAATGCGACAAACGATTGAATGCTCGGGACCACCTAGTGGAACCCACCTGGGTAGGCTTGCAATCATGGTAGCCTCTCTGAAACCAGGTTGGGGGACTGTTCCTTATTGTTTTGCTTACTTGAGCGCATGGTCTTGAGGCTTGTATGGCACTGCATATACATGATATAGAAGTATGGTAGCCTGAAGCCTGAAGACCTAAACCTTAAACTCTCAGCACCAATCTCTAATCTCCAAGCCTGAGCCCAACAAAGCAAGCCCTAGATCCTAAGCCTAAACCCTAAATTTTCAACCCATAGACCTTGACCCTATACTCCCCAAACCCCAAACTGCAAGTACCTAAACGACTGGGGACCTAGTATATACTTCAAGGAGACTCGAGCAACCCTTCGTCAATGCACCCTAGCAGCATCATTATGACAAAGGTATACATTCCTTAATTCTATAAAAGCCTGTTGCTCCTGCATAAAGCTTGTAAGAAAGGGTACTGAAGTGTGCACCTTGCAGATGATCTCCCGAAGAACTTCCAGCGCCAGCTTCTCATATTCAGACGCCCTGAGGAAGAGGCGCCAGCGTTTTTAGGATTCCCGGGTTCCTTGTTAAACCAGGGTTGTGTAGGATTCCTTTGTTGACCTGTGGGGCCAAAATGCTTGGTTTGTAGCCGTCTTTCAGATCATTTTCATCTTGTCATCCTAATCTACCGTATAAGAGTAGACACTAAACATCGAAGAGCGCCTAGCAGCTAGCAGTGCAAGCACAACTAGGCTGTAAAAAGGCTTGAGCAGACCTTGATCAAACTAGAATATACCCCAACACCATCCTAGTGATCGTCAAGGCCACAACATTAGGTCAGCCTGGCAGCCACCATCAACTTGACTTGTATGCAGACAACATCGAGTTTTCGCGACCTATTTAAAAGTTTTTAAGAATCCATATGCATCCTGAACCGCCGTAGTAACGCTTTAATGGAACCCCTTTGACGGAGCCTAGTTATCTAACTCTTCAGAGGAACACTTCTAACCTGCTGGAAGCTCGCCTTCGTGGTTGATTTCCTTGAGGTTTAAAGGTTTTGGCGGGATTTTTCGGCGGAGTCATATGCTAACCGAAAGGGTCCCCAAGAACGTGGTTCACCCCTTAACCCCTCCCCCCTAAAGCCTTTCCACTGTTGCAGACCACTTCCAGGCCGCGGACGATGCGGCTGAGCAGTCGCACAAGCGTAAAGCGGAGCAGATCTCTAGCTGATATGCCAACTGTGCTTGTGGTGTTTCGTCCATAAACGTCTGAAACCGTACTGGATTGCACATACGTTTTCTGTCGCCTTGGACCGAAGCAGTCATTCTTGCAGCTGGGCATGCGTAACATACCGAGGCCCGAACTGCCAAACCCTTACAGCTAAACCTTTCAACCTGAAGTCCAAAACCCCACGGCTCGGGATAGCTGTCGGGATCGGGGCACGTGTGTTTGGGCTGTTTCGCTCACTCTTCTTCGACCTTCGACTTTGTGCCCTACCTCCTGACAGCGATTGCCAGCTGCTCGTACCGAATTGTAGTAGCGTAGTGGTTGTGGTCGTGGTGGTGTGGTAGTTGAAGTAGTCGTGGTAGTAGTAGTAGTAGTAGTAGTAGTAGTAGTAGTAGTAGTAGTAGTAGTAGTAGTAGTAGTAGTAGTAGTAGTAGTAGTAGTAGTAACAGTAGAAGTTATTGTTGTGGTTGCTGCCGAAGTAGTAGAATCAGTATAGCAGCACCAGGGCAGCGGTGGTAGTCGCAGTTTCTCTGTTGGAGTCACAAGCTCCAGCTCCAGTCGTCCTTATCTTACATTGTAGTTACTGAGGGTTTAGGGTTGTCGTTGCGGCATGCTTTTCTTTAAGGCCAAAAACCTGGAAGTTTGATGCAAGTTTAATCCCACTGCCACCCTCATGTGCCCTGATCGTACAGACTGATTTCAACGGCAGCAGCATCGGCAGACAAAAGTTGGTGCTCCCCCGCTTTGAGAAATGTCTGCTGCATGATCCGTGATGCTCAGTGTTTTAATGCAGATCCTTGAAACCTCACGGCTCCAAGTGTGCAAATAGTAAATAGTACTCACGTTTGGCTGTGACATCGCGAAATAGTACCTACTTTGGGGCTGTCTGGAGGCCCAGGGAAAAGCAGACTCAAACCTGAACCCCAAGCCCCAAACCCGCGACCTTGAACACGAGGCCTGGAAACAGACCCAGGGCTTCTCAGGGCAGTATTGGGGAATCAAGTTCTACCTATAGTCTGCATGGTAGTTCCTTGTTTCGGTTACCTTGTAGGATACTAAATATGTGATTGGCTAGGCCCAGAAGTATGAACTGCAGTGGAGAGCACTGGCAGCTATC